TAGTCAATTAGATGTAGTAGTTACTTGATAGTATAACATTATTTGGCTTTACTTACTTTGTTTCAGTGACCAGAAGGTTATAACTAGGTAAACTTACCCAAATTTTCAATGATTTAGTGTGGTAAAGTTATTAATAAGGCATTATAGAAAATTAGCCATTATTTCTTAATTTTCAATGAAATTTGTTGGGATTTTCTGATATAAGTCAATTTGATGTAGGTATTACTAAATAATACTATGTTGCTTAACTAACTTTGATTCATTTACCATCAGGTAATATTACTCCCATTTTTAATGAATTAGTGTGTAAGCTTGTATAGTTATACATCATAGGAAATAAGCCATAATTTTTTGAATATTCAATCTAATTTATTGAGATATTCTTATTTTAATCAATTAGATATGCTTGTTAATTAATATAATAGATTTATGTTGCACTTATAATTCTGTTTCATTTCCTAGGCTGTTATAATAAGGTAAAAATCCCCATTTTGTAGTGAATTAGTGTTCTATCTTAAGACAGTAAGGTATCTTAGGAAATTTGCAATAACTCTTATATTTTGTAATGAAATTTGGTGGGACTTCCTTACTTTAGTCAATTAGATACGTGTGTTAATTAATATGATAGATTAATGTTCCACTTATAGCTTTGTTTAAATTCCAAGGCTCTTATAATTAGGTAAAATTTTCATATTTTGTAGTGATTTAGTGCATTATCTCGGACATTTAGGCATCTTAGGAGATTTGCCATAATGCTCATATTTTGTAATGAAAGTTTAAGGTAAAAGTACCCGGTGTATCAACATTTTATGTGGCACTGCTTTCTTTAATAGTTGGGGTCCACATGGAATTTACTATAACATTTATATTTTACATTACTTTTCATAGGGATCTTGTATTAAGCTCTTTTTAATGAACTGACCTACCTATGAAGCATAAAATTGATATTGTAGGAAAACTAAAATTACAATCAATTGAAATTGTACAGGTCCCAAAAGATATCAGTATGCAAAATGGGTTTTTTTAAATTTATATAAATACATAGGTGATATTTAAGTATATTATAGTTAGAATTTTATCAGTTATGAGGTTTATAACTTACTTGAGGGAAGTTAAACAAGTGACTTGGGACTACAGCATACCTAGCTTCCTAGCTGAGAAAAATCTTCAAAGAATTATATGGTTATATATGTATAGGTTATATACTTTTAAGTTAGCAAAGGGCGACACAGGCTCATCTCGGGTATCTCAAAGGGGTATTATGTTAAGTAATGATTACGGATTGATAAACCTTAAAAGTGATTTTAGATAATATACAGAATAAAAATCAAGAAAGCTATATATGTTTATCAAAGTGGGTTATATTATGGACCTCATATAAGATTAAGATATATTTGAGCCGCGTCACGATAAAACCAACATAATGGGTTTGCGACCAGCATGGATCCAGACCAGCCTGCGCATCTGTTCGCTAACAGTGTCTCTACTTGTTATACGGTTTGTAAGTGAACAGCATGGATCCTGATCAGACTGCGCGGATATGCAGGCTGGTCTGGATCCATGCTGGTCGCCATACCACTATGTTGGTTTTGTTGTGACGCGGCTCATTTAACTTTTAACATGTAAACACTGAACTGGATCGGGAAAGAAGGATTGACAATTTTATTAAGATTGCTAAAATAATAATTGTAACTGTTTTTTATTGTACATAATAGGAATTCTGCTATATCATTGTATTCTCTTTGTTTGATTGGACTGGTTGAAATTCATAGAAATCCAGCTGGGGTGAATTTAATATAAAATAAGAGTAATATTTGTTAACGCATGGAAAAAATATGCTGGATTATATTAATATTTTGACCGAAATGCATACCAAAAAGGCAGGCAGTATTAATAGAACAATAAAAATGACAATCTCAATACTGTGGATTATTACACATTTAATAGAAACACAGAATTGCAAAGGGAATACCTAATCAAGGTATCATTATTTAACAAAACATATATTTATTAAATATCACAAGTAATAAAACTACATCAATATGCCTGTCAGACAGGTCTTGAAACAAAATAAAAGTCTTTAAAAGCCCAGGCCACATACAAAAATAGTATTCTATGCCTTGATTAGGAGCTGACAGATAGGGGAATTTTGTAAAGGGTGGCTTAGCCTGTCTGTTGTGATTACATGTGTAAAAAGTACAACATGGTATATTTTAGCCACCATAGAATTTTGCCATCTAGAAAAAAATCTAGCTATTTTTATTTGTACAAAAATATAGAAATAGTACAATGTATAATTAGTAAAATATTCACTATACATGTACAAATAATGAAACTATTAACAAATGTCGGTACAGCCGCGGTACGGTATTTAGAGGGTCATGGGTTCGAGTCCATGACAGGATGCACTTTTTTCTCACCCTGTGACTGACATACATTTGTATAGCCCAGCTAGAAATTAATTCACAATGCTAAGTAACCCTGGGAAATTCGAAGAAATATTTGCATACACAGTAGGTTTATAACTATTCAGTAACACGTGTAGGCGGCCGAATAGCTCAGAGGAACTCAAGAGCCGCGGAATGGTATTCCGAGTGTCAGGGGTTCGAGTCCCTGCCAGGCTGTTACATATCAATATAAATCTGTCAAGAAAAATAGGAAGGAACTGTCTAAAATAATTATCACCCTAAATAGGATTCGGATAGGATTCGGACAGTCTTTGATGAAAAGTCAGAAGATGAACTTGTAAAGGGGGTGGGGGTGCTAGTCTGATTACCATCATTTGATGTCTGACGAACCTCATATCTAATATATATTGGTACGCATATAAACACCTGTTTGCTGAATTGAATATAAAAAATGTTGCAATTAATTAGTAATTAAATCTTATGCGTATGTAAAATAGGATTAGTAATAGAAAGAGCACCAAAACACGAGGCTATCTGATTTGTACGAGGGGGCGTAGACCCCGAGTATTAATCAGATCGCCGAGTGTTTTGGTTTTCTTTCTCTTTTGTATCATAGTCAAAAATAAAAGCACGTTCCCTGTTGTCACATTATGAAACCCCGGCAAAAATGAACCAATGAACGAACATCTGAATATGACATTTCTGTCGCTTTCCCTTTCTCTGCCGTCACAATATGTAAACCCCAGCAAAATGAGCCAATCAATGGGCATGCTCTGGAGTGCGGGTAACTAATACCCGCACTCAATTTAACGCACTGTGCATGTATATGTATACGATTTAACCCTGACACATTTTCAACAGAAAGGTCTCCAAACTATGATACAAAAACTAATTAATCTTCGGCGTAAAGCATGTAGAAATCTGACCAGTATTCACCGCGAGGTCACAAACTTTAAAACTTTAATGTAAATATCACAATAATACTTCTTTATATAATACTTCTATTCTTTGACAGGGACACAGAACATCTCTTACATGTTTAAGAAACAAGAAATTTACATAATATATCTATCTAAGATATTATTTTACTTCTCAATAGTAACAGACGCAAAACACGGTACTTAAGCGCTTAGACGAACGCAGACGCACGCTAAACGTTTCTGGGAATAAGAAACGCACGCTTTCAGACGCACGATAAACGAAAAACGATACACGGAAAACGATAAACGTTAAACGCTTGTAAACGATGCACGCTTGAGAAAGCGTTTCAGCAAACGCCCGTTGCACGCTATACGCACGCACGTTACACGAAAAACGGACGCACGAAAAACGCTATTTTTGACAACCGAAACGTTCACCCTACTGTAATATATATATTTTTCAAATGAATAGATCTATATCATTGTGCATTTCTATACTCCAAATTCTCTTATACGAATATGTACGTCAATTTTTTAATGAAATGAATGATAAGATTGACATGCCGATTAGAATGCGGCAATAAAGCAATCTTGTTCAAAATTAATACACACAACTTCTAGATTTTCAGATAAACTTTATTTTAAAAAATGTAATAACTTTAACGAACAAACATTATTATTTATGTTGTCGTTTTCTCACAAAAAATATAAAACTGTCAAATGTTCAAAACGTCAATCTTTTTTTTTTACTAAAAATAAATTAATTAAAAATGTATAAACAAATAATATGTTTTACGCGCAGTTTTAGAAAAAAAGATCTTTTTTCTATGTACATATAATCATTGCTTCTAATAATAACATAATAAGGCTAAATGATTTTATCTGAATTTGTTTGAAAGGATAAACAATTTACTTTTGTTGTAATTTGATATTTGAAATTAGAAATTAGATCTTTGGTGATTAATTAAATAACTCTTTTGAGTCAGGACAATGTTACTGAGTATAAGCCAATTAAATAATTAAAAAGAAATTACTTTTATGCGTTTTGCGCTGTTGTATTTTTACGCTTTCTGCACACCATGCAAAAGAAAGCATGTTTTAAGTTCACAATTAAAATATTATAGTTATAATTTTACAATCCAAAAACTAGAAGAAGATTATGTCGAGGCTACAATGTTGATATTAAAATACTAAACAGAATACATTTTACCAGTTTAAAAAGAACTTTTATTTATACTAAAGCCCAAAGAAGGGCCACTGAGAAATCATCATTATATATAATTAAAAGTAAAAACACGCAATACGTGACAAAGGGTTGAGATGACATGTGGCATTCAAGCAAAAAACTTCTTAAGTAAAAATTAGAAAGGAGCTCATAGAGCTGGACCGTGATAATGTCTTCATAAAATTGACCAAACCAAAAAAGCATATAAAACAGCATAAGTATGGTAACAATTATTTACAAAACCAAAGTATTTTCATGACACAGACTGATTCTCAGATTGCAGACGACAGTTACAATGTTCTTATTCACTATTCACTTTTTATTACTTTACTTTCTCTTCATTTACGGTTTCTGCCGGCAATCTCCTGACTGATAAAATTATGAACATTTAGCAACAAAAAAACCCCCAAAAAAACAACAACAACAAGCTGAATGCCTTTATCACATTCAGCACAGCCAACGCAAAATGTGCACATAGCAAAACATGCACCATGCAATAACAGTTGATGAGAGACTGTCTATTGCGATCGAACTTTTTATTTTGTCTCCAAAGAAGATGCTGTCTTCTTTTGTCCCGTACTGATCATTTTTGAAACATATTATATAAACTGTAAAATATCCGGCAGGTTGAAAATCTGTAGTGACTTTAAACTGATCGGTTACATTTGTTTCAAAGACGTCGACTGTATCCATTCTAGCGTCGCTTGCGTGGACTACACAATCTAAAGATGGCGGAAAACCTTCGACAGTGACGTCAATAATTGCGGCATCATCTTCGCCAACAGCAGTCATGTTTGTGGTGACGCCATCAAAGAAAGCCGATGTATGTCCTGAAAATAAAAAAATATGTTCATTGATTCATGTCAACATATGTAAAAATTATCATAAATACGCCGATTTCATCTGACAAAAAAGTCGTAATATGTGTAATTATAACGTTTCAATGTGTACAAATAACTTTGTGACGATTTATTCAGAAATCGGTTTAACAAGGTGTTTTAATGAGGATTTGCAAAAACATATTATATTTATCATAATAATAAGTAGTAACAAATTCTTTATATCCTTTATTATAACGAAATATCACGTATTATTGTAACTCACAGCAAAAACACTTATTGGAGTCTTATATAAAACCATTCTTGTTTACTTAGCATTTCTTTAGAAAAAGAAACAAACTTACTTTTTATTTGCACCACAATCGTGATTACAAATACAAAAACACGTCTCCAATCCATCTTGGCACTTCAAAAATGTCTAAACATCTGAAGGCGTAGTAAGAAAATACTGATATTCATTATGCAAAACCGTTTTTTTTTTGTCAGATAAAGATTTTTAAAGTAGGTCTCGGCAGTTTCACTGTCTTTAACTAATTTAAATTTGTCACTTATAGACAGCTCTCGTCGAATTCTTTTAGGCCATGGAATAGAACTTAGCGCTGATAAATGTCGTTTCCGTTGCGTTGTCATTTTGGGAAATGAATATACAAAAAGCAATGCAGTATAATAAGATTCTATTTTTCATTCATACTGATTTTAACTTATCAATTTCTCGTGCATTTTGGCATTTATATAAACCAGTAACATCTATACCTTACAATGAATCAGACTGTAAAAAGAGACATAATTAACTAATCAGATAATCATTGTTCCGTTACCGCTCAGTTAGCGTATTAGACACAACCAATTGATAAGTACACAAGGTTATTCACTCCTTCGTCGTGCGGCGGATGTTATATTTCGTAAAAGGTATTATTGACATGCTTTGTAATAATGCCAAAACCTGTTGTCCAATTACATCGAATGCTTTGCAGCTGTGGGCATCTTTACAAAGCGTCGTTCACAGTGGAATACCAGCGCATGCGTATATCTCAGTGCACATGAAGTTAACTTTAATCACACCAGAGCGTTGATCCTTCTGAGTTTCTACTTCGTGTAACTGTACACGTTGTATAAAAATAGTTTTAAAGTTTTGTATTACGTACTAAGTTTGCATGTTCAGATGGAATAAATATAATTTTAGCAAGTAAGCAGAAGAAAAAAATCCACACTGGATGATTCTTTCAGTCACACATGAAAATTGTTGCTTATTATGGTGTTGTTGATTACAATGATCAATATATTTCTTTCAAAAGCAAATACAGGTTTTGTTATTATAATTGAAATATACATTCTTCATTCCTCTAACCACAAAAAACTAGGAGACATTGACTTCAATGTGAAATTGACTGTGAAAATTACATTTGTAAATGTCGTTAAATAACACTGAGGTTATCAATTTAGTTATAGGCATTGTCAATTAGAAAAGGGATTTGGGTTTGTGCGGGACATTTCATGATGTGATTCAAGAATTGTAAAGGACACATATCATTGCAATGTACACATACTACCATGATGCATGATCTAGGTACGCATTTACCTATTTAACAGTAAAAGTTCACTTCTTAATCTCAATATATTTAAAGGTCAAATATGCCCAAGAAATGCATTTTACTTTAATTTCAATGACTTTTTATTTTCCGTGTACATTATTTTTTGTACTTTTATAGTTTCAGAAAAAAGAACTTCTCATTGGCCAATTACCTGAGCCATCCTCTGCTACATATCAGCCGCGTCATGACAAAACCAACATGGGTCATGACAAAACCAACGTAATGCGTTTGCGACCAGCATGGATCCAGACCAGCCTGCGCATCCGCGCAGTCTGATCAGGATCCATGCTGTACACTATCAGTTTCTCTACTTGTAATAGGGTTTGTAAGCGAACAGCATGGATCCTGATCAGACTGCGCGGATGCTCAGGCTTGTCTGGATCCATGCTGGTCGCAAACGCATTACGTTGGTTTTGTCATGACGCGGCTCATATTTTTAAGGACACAAGCATCTAACATGCTCTAATACCGGTATTTAAATGTATTAAAACTAATGTTTTTGTTTCTGAGGCATAATGAACATTTGGAACATAACTAACATTTGTATTGGCTGAAGTAACTTCCGACTTACATAATAAGTTAAACGGAATAACTAGTAACATGTTCAGATATGTAGAGGTAGAGACTAAAAAATGCAAAACCCGTATAAAATAAAAAGATTCTTCATGATTAATTAAGTGCAACAATGTATAGACTGATTGATATAACGTTTGTTCTAATAATTAAATGATACCCATCCTCTTGTTTCCGACAGAAAAATGTAGAACCTTCCTGTTTAACGTATTCACTTGTGTTGAAACTCAGGAAGAACTATAAAAAAACTATTCATATCTCTTGCGATACAAATGTTAAATAAATTTGAAACACTATATTGTATTATATGACAACCCACTAAGAGCTTTTAAAAATCAGGCAATGCTTATTGCATTATTTTGTGACAGGCGTACGCTGATAATTGAGCCGCGTCACGACAAAACCAACATAATGGGTTTGCGACCAGCATAGATCCAGACCAGCCTGCGCATCCGCGCAGTATGATCAGGATCCATGCTGTTCGCTTACAAACCCCATTACAAGTAGAGAAACTGATACTTGTAATGGGGTTTGTAAGCGAACAGCATTGCATAGAATATCCATATATTAAAAAAATATATATTTTTTACTGTTATATTGTTATAGACAATATAACAGTAAAACAAGTTTAATATATGTATATTTTATTGCATAAATAACAAGGTTAAACACATTTTAGGTCAAATCAATGCCACTAGCACCTTTGGGTTAACATTGCAATAATAATAGGTCATCATCTTCCGGAAGACATTCGAACTTGAGTCCACACACAACATATCTATATACTAGCCGGATTTAAATATAAGTCATCCAGTTTTCTGTAATGGGTGAGATTATTTTTAAATGAATGTTATGATATTTTGCACTTACGTTGTACTTTATTAAAAATGTGTTGCAAATCATTCCATAGCTTTTGACAGATTGACGGAAAATAATGTTTATTTGGCAAATGAATCACACCAGAAATATATTCTGAAGCGTTATAAAAGCATCCATTATTTTGAATTTTGTTTTATATAATGTTTGTCTGTCATAGTTAAAGGTATCACATTTCTTTACATATATATAAACAACTGGCTATATATTGTTGCGTCCTAAATTGTCAAGTAATAATCAAATGTGTCCTAAAATACTAGGTAAGAAGTAATTTTGTACTAAATCGGTAAATATATTATGCCAATATTCAAATAAAGAAAAAAGTTACAAAGTTTAGTTTTCTGATTCTCTGTTTCTGTATTATACTTTTTAATACTAAATAGACAAGGAACAAAGAAATGTCGCATCTTTCACAGTTGTATAGATCTAAGTATTATAAAAGATTATCCAATTTGTTGAACCTAATTTTTGTCAGCTTATGAATGTAAACATATTTTGCAAATATATTCAGCCTTCATCTTGTAATTTTCTCTACAGTACAACTTCATATTTGCTGTTTTTTCTTATTGCCCTTAACATACGAAAATGCTATGTATTATAGTATATACTAGAATTGTATCTTTGCCTTGATTATAATGATATTTGTTTTGTTTGGTTTTACGGCTCACCAACACAGTTTAGGTCATATGGCTCAGAAACAGGAAATATGGTTTTGTCTAACCTCGGGTGTTACAAATATTGACCAAACCACCTTACCTGCTGGAGCTAAGAGATGCACAGACACCAATAATTCGAACCCATTTAGTCGCCTATTACGATCACACAGTTGTAAACATGGATGCAATCCTCAATCCGTAAAGGCAACCCCCAGCCACAAATCTAAATGTTTATATCAATATATTCTTTATTTCAGTCTCCTATATACACGATTTACATACATGTATATAAAACATACTTTAAAAAAAGACGTCAAACATAACCATCATGCTGTAGCCATCTTAATCAAGTTGCAGGAAACTATAATTATAAGGGGGGCAACTCCATACATGTCTATTGTCAGTATGTATTGTGGACTCATCTCCCTTACTAACACCTAAACTATATTCCTGTTAAAATATATAGCACATATTATAGGTCGATATATAAAAAATAAAGACATATTGGCTAATGTCTTAAATGAATAAAGTAAAAGGTTAGGTTCTGTTTGCTCCCATGAAATTGACATTATTTGCGCAAATTCTTTGATCTCTACTATTGATTGGAACTCTACGTGAACACTTGCAGCAACTATAACATATATACCTATCTAGTATATCAAGATCTAAGGCACGTTTTTGACTTTCAGTTATTTTAAGAGAAGAATTTCATCAACTTATTTTTACTAATTATGGGCATCTTATTTCCATATCACAGTACACACATTGAGACGACCTTGATGATAGGACTTATGGCGCACACCCACAAACGCACGTACAGCTATATTAAACTTTTATGGTAATAACAGCTGCATCATATTCAGTTCGGTTACATAGGAAGTATAATTATGCCCGGCCATACACTTATCACTCCGGCTGCGAGTGTAAATCAACCAAATGCACATGCGATAAAGTTAATACTATTTTCTGTGATAACATATTCATGTTTTCCGATTAAAAAAAAGAAAAAAGAAGAGAAACAACAACACAACCACCAACAACAACAACAAACAACGCTCCTGTTGAATATTGCATTAAAATGCCACAAAATAGGCAATATGTGGGCAACATGAATAATTCCTAGCATTTAGAAGAAAAGCCAAAATTTTATGCATCTTGAAATCTTGACATCTTGACGTCTTAAAATTATTTTGTAAAGAACTAAATGGTTTCTCCATTTTCCACTTATAAACTCAATCTTATCTCGAGAATTCATCGAAAACGCCATTAGTTGACTACTACGTCATGATTTTCTAACCGCCTATATTTGTGAAATTCGTTTCTCAAATAAAAAATTAGAGACAGAACTAGTAGAAAAGACTTGCTAGAAACATGGGTTGGATAATAAGGGAGTTTCATATATTTGTTATATGTGCTATTCTACAAGGTGCGTATTTTTTTCAATTTTCTGAATTTGGACATCAGATTTTATGATTGTTTTATTTAAATATATAAATCACACAGTTTTGTATTACCCACACTTGAAAATCCAGATTTTTATGGGAACAAAAATTCCAAACGGGGAACGATTTTAGATAAGATAAAAAAACAAAACGATTTTTGATACCCGAGGCAATAATACAATAAAAAAAAAGGCCGGTCAGCAAACCAACATAATGGTTTGCGACCAGCATGGATAAAGACCAGCCTCCATCCGCGCGTCTGATCGGATCATGTTGTTCGCTATCATTTCTCTACTTTTATAATTTGTAAGCGAAAGCTTGGGATCCTGATCAATCCCGGGGGTTTCGAGGCGGGTTGGATCCATGTGGTCGAAAACCCACTATGTTGTTTTGTCTGACGCGGTTCAATAAAAAAACTTTGCGAAGGGTTTACAGCCTAGATCTTTAGTGTTTCAAAGGGAAAATACGTCAATTATGTTGTAACTTTAATTTTTACTGACAAAAGCTGATAAGGAGCGAAACATTATGAAATAGAACATGTTTGGGCACAATAATACCTAAGTGATTTTTTTTTGTGCTTTTTTTATAAGGTGTTATCTTGATTTTTTTCTCTTTTTTAATCTAAAACGTTCTAGTTTCAAAGGGAAGTGGGTTTAAAAAGTTAAAACTTTTTATCAGCTTGTTTTGTCCTGTTACACAAAAACATATTATACAATGAAACGAACATTGATCTTCGGGCGGTATCCCCGGTTTTAAATATGGTAACGTGCCCCCAGAATTTTTCTTTTTAAAAGGTATAATAATTATTTTTTTATTAAAATTTTGCAATTTTTATTTGAAAAGTATGTTTTTGATATAAATCAGAAATTTTTCTATAACTTGAAACACATCAATTTCTGATTTGTATTTTTTCAGGATTTTATTCATCCCCTTTGAACATCTCCAGTACAAGTAAATTTTAAAAGGGTATTTTTAAAAGGAAAGGGGAAAAATCGTCACAAAAAACTTTTTTAAAAACACTTTCCCGCTTTAAAATTTTAAAACCCTTTTTTCGTAAGACGGAGATCCAAAAGACCAAGATGTCAGAAAAAACAAGGGACAGGAAAATGCCAATCAAACATTTTCAATTTCAAAAACCCAAATGCCCCCATCATCGGGGTTAATTTTTAAAAGCGTTCGTATCCTTTTTTCGGGGCCCAAAAAGGGGGTTTATAAGGGCAAAAAGAAATCCGGGTTTCCGGGTTTAAAGAAAAAAATTTTGAACTTGCCCCAAAACAGTCTAAAAAGTCAGCTCCATCCGGTCGG